ATACCTACATCAATCTATAAATAATGAAATAATAATAAAAATATATATAATAATAAATGGTTGTCGTCGTGGTCGGCCCGACGACTGTCTGAGTCCGACATTCCGACGCACTGCGATAACGCAACCAGATATAAAAATAATAATATTTAAAATATTAAAATCACTACATCAGTACAGCACACTTCTTTTCTTAAGTTTAATTTTGAGGCATAATAATATGTTAAATATCTACTATTACCTTAATTTTTTATTGCCATCAATAATTATAATTATTTAACCATTTAAGAGGGTTGGAACTTTGGAAGTATTTATTGATTCTTTGTAACCGATTATTTTATTTGGTACCTACTACCTACCTAATAATTTGGTAATTTTTACTAAAATTTGATTACTAAATTAAATTTCATATTTTATTTTGACATTTGTTTGCTACAGAGAAGATTTTGTTAGTTAATTACTAATTAGTATGAGTCATCGTGCTCATAATAATATGAGTAGGTAGGTCAACAAAAAGGAGACGTGTTCTTCAAGAAATTGAGAGCTTAATACTGATTATGAATCAGATCACGATAATACACATTTTGAAGACCCATTACTACAAGAAGATACTAGAGATGTTTCACAGTGCTTTGATACAACGATTTTTGAACAAAATCAGTTATTGGAAGGTAAAAAATAAATTATAATTTATTCAGATAGGTGTAATATGTTAGGTATTTAATTATTTATTTTTTTATAACATCGATTGGAAATGGGTTTAATATTTGCTGTAAGTCAAATAAAACAATTAAACCTACACTAAATATGATTATAAAATGTAGGTTCGTTATTACATACGTAAATAGTAAATACGTAATAATAATAAGTAGCAGAGGTCCGTCGCGCGTCGTGGCTTAGATGACCGGACGACGTCTAATTAGTAAAATACCTGTTACTTTATTTTTAAAATGAACTACATTCGATTACCCATGTATACTGCACTGGACGTTTCCAGTCATACGATAAAGAATTATTTTTAAACTATTAAATATATTATATAATATACACACTACACACATATGAATATAATATATATAGAATCTAAAATAGACATAGATAAATAAAATATTAATATTCTATAAGTTATAATAATTATGTTTTATTCTATTATATTTAATTTGTAGTATGAACTGTTATTATTCTGTTATTTTATATGGGTATATTAAATAAACTAAAAAGAGAAAAAATATATTTAAACTCAATAGTATTAAATAATTTATCCAGTTTTAACCCTTTTTTAAATTTTAGGTTCTGATATTCCCGAAACTGGAAGTATTTTATCCTTTTCAAATTCTGCTGGAGATTTTTCTAATTTATTTGACGACAGTGATAATAATACAGTTGAAAGTTCAAGTGAAGAAGATAACACAGAATTTTCTGATAACTCACCCCGTACTCAACTCGCACAATTGGCTATAAAACATTAAAACATAATATCACCAATCAGTGGCGGTTCTGGGAGTATTTTTTTCTGTGAGGCAACCTATGTATCACCCCCCCCCCCCCACCATACAAAACTAGAATTCCCAATAAATATAATTTAAAACATAACAATAATTATAATTGTATGAATGCTAATAATATACTTGTTTCGTATAGTCAATAATATAGTAAGTGATAGATAGGTAATAAACAGAGCATTTTAAAATTTGGTAGTCCTGAAAAGGACCTTTTAAGTAGGTATGCCTAGTCCTCAAAAGAACTTTTTAAGTTGTTATGCCTAGTCCTCAAAAGAACTTTTTTAGTTGTTATGTCTAGTCCTGAATAGGACTTTTTAAGTAGGTATGCTTAGTCCTGAAAAGGACCTTTTGAGTAGGTATGTCTAGTCCTGAAAAGAACTTTTTAAGTTGTTATGCCTAGTCCTGAATAGGACTTTTTAAGTAGGTAGCTTAGTCCTTAAAAGGACCTTTTGAGTAGGTATGCATAGTCCTGAAAAGGACTTCAAGTATGTCTAGTTCTAAAACTATTATGTTTTGTATGTTAAATTTATACTCCTATCTTTTTGACTAGAATACATGTTTATAATATCATCATAAAATGATTCAGTTTTTTTAAGTTGATTAATCAAGGACTTTTCAATTGATAGTATTGAAAGAGAACTTAAACGGACTTGTGAAATACTATTTCGAGAACAGGTTTTAATTCTTTTGAGGCAAGAGAAACTTCTTTCATTTGCTACACTAGTTTATGGTATGGTTAAAATAAGAATAAATAATTTATAAGCTTCAGGTAAAATGTCTTTCAATGCATCTTGTTCAATAATTTTAACCATGTCATAAATGTGTAATAAATTTTGATATTTTACATCACTATACAAAACCTCCAATTCAACTTTTAATGTATTAATATTATAAAATATATTAGGATAAGTTGATTTCAAATTATTTAAAGCATTTACAGGAAATGTACAAGAATATTCTTTAAATTTAGTTACATCAGCTAACTGCAAAAAAAGTAATTTATTTGTATCTTGAAATCTGGTATTTAATTGCATTAAAATATCATCAATTATTTCATAAAACAATATTTTAAAATTTGATTGATTGTTAGATTCATTTATTGTAGCTTTTGGAGGTTTTGTAAGAGTAACTGCTTGATTAAATAATTTTAAAAATTCAGGTTCATTTCTTTTTTTGTTTATAAGATCATATGTTATATTTATTCTTCTCAAGCAAAATTCTACATCAAATGATTTATTTTGGAGTATGTTAAATAAATTGTCAGTATATATGAATATATCACTAAATATCAGTGCTAAGAAAGCAAATTCAAAAGTTTTTAAATTTTTTAAATGACCAATAGCACCACAAATAGATTCAGATGACGATTTTGAATCTTTGCTAATACAGTCAAAAACATTAATAAACCCAGACCACTCATTAACTATTGTGTGTAAAATTTTTGACCGTGAGGACCATCTTGTTTGAACAAATTGAGGAATTCTTTTCCCTACAATAGTATCTACAAAATTAGTACGTGAAGTGGAATTGTGAAAATAAGCAGCGATACCAGTGAGGTTAGCAAAAAATATACGACATTTAGCATTTATACTACAACCATATTGCAATAACAAATTTAATCTGTGAGCTAGGCAGTGTGTAAATAAAGCATTAGGTGCAACTTCCTTAACTCTAGCCTGTAAACCTGTTAAATGCCCAGACATTACACATGCCCCATCATAACATTGTCCAACTAATTTATTTTCTATATCAAACTCATGTAAAACAGAATTAACCAAATTAAATAAACCTTGAGCCGTGCGGTCTTCACTAACATTACGAAAACCCAAGAAACGCTCAACCAATTCAGATTTATCTGTAACAAATCTAATTATTATTGAACATTGTGTTTTTTGACTGATATCTGTAGTGTCATCAATTTGAATGGAATAAAATTTACATTGTTTGATTTCATTTTTATTTGGTTTATTAAAAATTCAGAAATACATGAAATTAAATCATTTTGTATGGACTTGAACATACCTGAAAATATGTTTTTTATACTATTATAATGATTTTGAATTTCTTGAGTACACCTAATAATATGCATATCAAACAACTCTCTAAAATTCCCTTTATTTAATGAATCACTGCTTTCATCATGACCTCTAAATGCCAACTCTTGTTTTCCCAAAAATAAAACCAAATCGATTAAATGCTCCATAAATAAACGATTTAATCTCACATTCTCATTATAATTTTTTTTAAACAAATTGCCATGTTCATTAACAACATCTAGTATAGTAAAAGAATTTTTTTCCAGGTTTTTTAATCCTAAATGATTATGAATATGTTCTTTTGATGTTTGATGTATTTGTATACCTCTAGATAAATTTTTCAAATCATAATACCCAACAGTATTCCACACAGACTTCATTTTACCCAACAACAAACATGGCCAACAAAACAATTTTTGTATATAATGACCCACATAACCAAGAGTGTTGTTGATATAAATTTGGATTAAATGACCTACAGAATACCTTACTTAGTTTCTTGTCAGGAGCCAAAGCTGACAAAATCGGAATAGGCTTACCCACTTTTAGCAAATCATTTTTATTATCAGAATGCCATCGTCGAAACGGCGTCTCCAACAACATAGCTACCAAGTCTGTCACTGGATACGTCATAACTCCAACAGTAATTAATTTAATAATGTTTATTACAAAAAACTTCAGCACTCGCACATATATTTTAACGTAGACGTTAAGACGAACCGGAACCACCGAAAAAGTGTAAGACACAACTACACAAGCGACTATTCGTACAAGACGTCAAGACAGAAATGACTAATGACAAATATAAAATTATTATCAATAGATATTACAGCGGACAACGGTTTAATTAGGACTGCCCCGAGTCTCGATTGTAACAATAACATCTTTACTGATAAGTGATAATGTGTTTTTACGTTGAAATGCCGGCTGACTATATATTCCCGTATACCGAGTCTATTTTTAGTACATAAGGCGATGTTAGTCGAGCCTCACAATGATCATTGCGCATGCGCAACTCTAGTTATTTAATAGTCGCGTGCATTCGCGTACATACGCTTGTGTGTGTAATTCATGTACACAATAGTACATAATCCGAGGCGGAGTTGAACGGTGCCTTCTGATGTCATCGGAACATTGCCGCCGATTGAAACACTAGCGTTTGTTTACGTAATAATTATTTCATACATTTCTTATCGGTTTATCACTATTTTTGGTAATAAACACTAAATGATAATATGATTTACCATATACAATATAATAAATGATAATTCATATTGTTAAACTTGGCAAAGAAGATTTTTTTCTCAAATAAAATCATAAAAACGTTAAAAATTATTATCGAAATATGTATATGCTATCGGTGGGCCAAAAATTATACTTTAATAGTATTTTTTACTTAAAATTGTAGGTTAGGCGGCGCCTCACTTGCCTCACCCCCAAAACTTCCACTGTCACCAATATAGCAATGTCTGATTTACTTAAAGTGTTAAATGCCTCTTACGATCAATCATTACCTTTAGACGCAAGGACTTTATTAAAAACTGATATTTCTGGTAAAACTTCTGTTAATTTAAAAAACATGTCACCAGGATTTTACTATAATTATTTTGGAGTTTTGAATGGAATAAAAAATCATTATATTATTGAAAATAGTCATATTAATGAACCAATAAAACTAGTTGTAGGAATAGACGGACTACCGTTAACTAAAACTTCTAAAAGCACGTTTTGGCCGATTTTATGCTATATTCGTCCGTATTCACACATTGTGTTTCCAATTGGACTATATTGGGGCAATGAGAAACCACAAGAAAGTAATGATTATTTATTTGATTTTGTTAACGAGATAAAAGATCTTATTAATAATGGAATTGAAATTAAAGTCAGTTCAGGAGAGTTTATTAAAAAACAAGTTATTTTAGACGTATTTTGTTGTGATTTACCTGCTAAAAACTACATTTTGAAAACCAAAGGGCACAACGCATATTTTTCATGTTCTAGGTGTTGCATAGAAGGGGAATATGTGTGTAGTAGGGTGTGTTATCCTGACATAGACTGTCCTAAAAGAACTCACGAAAGTTTTATAAATAAACATCAAGAAGAATAACATGTTGGTGAGGTAATGTCAATCCTTATTGATATTCCTGGAATTAATATTATTAATTCATTTTCACTCGATTACTTACATATGGTATGCATAGGTGTTACTAAAAAAATAATTACTTTGTGGCTTAAAGGCCCCTTACATTGTCGTTTAAATAGTACCAAATGTAAATTTTTGAATGTTAATTTATTAGCACAAAAATTGTTTATTACATGTGACTTCCAACGTAAACCTCGTGGTGTCGATGAAGTTTTTCGTTGGAAAGCTACAGAATTTCGGACTTTTTTACTTTATTTAGGCCCTGTCGTGCTTAAAAATATAATAGATAAAAAATTATACTCCCATTTTCTTTATTTAAATATATCTATGCTTATTCTTTTAAAAGAAAATAGTAGTAGTAGTCTTTTAAATTTTAGTAATGAGCTATTAAAGTATTTTGTTAAGCAATTTGCCTCAATTTATGGTATTGAATGGATTTCTCAAAATATACATGGCTTACAACACATCACTGATGATTATTTATTATTTGGGTCTGTAGATAACTGTAGTACTTTCCCATTTGAGAATCACATGAAAGTTCTTAAAAAATATATAAGGAAGTCTAACCAACCATTACAACAGGCCATTAAACGTTATAGTGAAGAAACAAAATACGGACAAAAACCTCATCTAATTAACTATGATTCAAATTGTTTTACATTTGAAAAAGAGCATAATAATGGACCTTTAGTAACAAAATATTTAAATCAATATTTACAATATAAAGTTCTCAATTTTAAAAATACAAAAATTAAAATCACAGATGAAGCTAACTGTTATATACTAACTATGGATGATGATGTGGTTAAAGTAGTAAATATAATATGCCAAACATCAAAACAAAATATTTTTATTTTAGGTTACGCGTTTAAAATGAAAACTTCTTTTTATAAAAAGCCTATTGAAAGTTCAAAATTGAATATTTTTGTAGTTGATAAACTAAGTAGTAATTTGGATAGATGGCCTGTGGAAAAAAATAAGTGTAAATGTATTATCCTTAAATGTGGTAACCAAACTATTTCATTTCCAATTATTCACACTTACAAAGACTAAATACTAATGTTGTATAGGTAGATAGGCCTATATTTATTAACTGTAATTAATAATTAATAATTAATTATATAGGTAAACATTTATATATATAATAATATACATATTATTATAATGCATTGGTATAATATTATGTAGGTACTCAGGAGATAATCAATGTATAATGTGTATGCATAATATATTATAATTTAAACAATAATTTTATTCTGATGAAAATGCAATTTCTGTATCTTCAATTTAATTTAATTATATTTCCATGTTTAGTTGTATGTATTAGCTGTACCAACTTATATGTATAATATATACTATATGTAATATGTCTATATACTGTATAGACTTTTAAAGTAAATTTTAATCTATAACATAAAATATTAAATTTGTTTAAAAATGTAATTTTTACATCATACTATATTTGTAATTGCTATAATATTATGTAATGTTAGTTTTAATATTATTATAACAGACTGTTATTAAGTCTATAATAATTAATGTTTATACTGTTTTTATTTTAATGAAAATATGGTTAAGTACTATTTAGGTATATTTGTTATATTTTCTGTTTATTATTATACAATATACTGTCTGAATTTTTCATAAACTTTTTAAATTCATTAATGTAGGTATAATATAAAATATTCTATAGGTATTTTATACGTTTTATATTTTAACAATTTATCACAGTAGTATAAAATAGACAATTCAAACACACAATGGAGCTGATCCGCTGATCCCTGCTGATCCGCTGATCCCTACTGAACCGCTGATCCCTGCTGAGCCCGCCGCCCGGTCGCGCACGTGCGCGAGATATATATTATCATTTATCATTATTACCGTTATCAGTTATCACTTATCATTATTACCGTTATCAGTTATCACTTATCATATATATTATATCCGCGCTAAACGTGTACAATTATATGACGGGAAAAAAAACTACAAAATAATTGATCGGGTTTCGAACCCTCGACCCCCATCTTATAACGATGACGCTTTAACCCACTAGGCCACATGACCACTTATAGTCTTAGCGTTATTTTCACTCATTTAACTAGATAAATATAAAATATTATGTATAGTATACAAATTTATAACATAGTGTAATCATAATAATATCTTTCGACACATAGTTAACATCAACCACCATAATTTACCGTTATAAGTATATACCTTTGATGGTAATTTCTAAGAATTTTTAGTCCTTTGGCGGCATATACCCTTTTTGTCATTGGATTTGACCGATTTCTATATAGGCGGGTTTTTTTAAAGGATTATTGTTATATGGGTCATCCTTTGGCGGTATACACCTTTGTTGACATCGGATGTGATCGATTTCTAAGAATTTTTAGTCCTTTGGCGGCATATACCCTTTTTGTCATTGGATTTGACCGATTTCTATATAGGCGGGTTTTTTTAAAGGATTATCGTTATATGGGTCATCCTTTGGCGGTATACACCTTTGTTGACATCGGATGTGGTCGATTTCTAAGAATTTTCGTCCTTTGGCGGCATATACCTTTCCTTTTATATAAGAAAGTAACTCTCTTTGCTTTTACCGTTATATGTGTGTGCCGCTACTCTTTTTGTCATTGGTAATTTATTGAATGTGACCGATTTATATGGTGGATGCGGCTATTTCAAAGGATTATAGTCACCATATATGGTCAAAATCTCTGTTCACGCCCGCCATATTGCTTTTTTTCTACACGATCCTCACCATTACCACCACCCCTAAAAATCCCTTAGTGTCCATGGTAAGAAGAGACTCTTGATTTTCCGTTTAGTCCGTGTACTACCTTTAACCGTTGTTCACGTATATTTACTCTCTGTCTTTAAAATATTTTTACAAGTGTTTATTTCTCTGCGTTTTAAAAATTATTAACACTTTGTGGTTTTATTTCGATATTACTTTACGTAAAAATGTATAAGTGTGATCAGTGCCCGTCAGTTTTCTCCGCAAAACGTAATTTGGTCGCCCACCAAAAGAAGCATGCAGGTGTACGTTTTCCGTGCACTGCATGCCCATCGACATTCTCGTACAAAAACAACCTCAACAAGCATCTGAAGAACATTCATGGTATGTACTAAAAATATAAAGTTTTATTTTATACAATATTAATTTTTTATTTTCCCTAAGGTATCGTTCCAGCTCACCTCAGACCATTGCCAGCTGCTCCGATCATAGATCAGCCAGCACGACCGAGCGTCATCCAGTTCGCCCCCGATAGCGAGACCGGTGACTCATGCGTCATAATAGAAGATGATGATACAGGTTAGTTTTATTTATCAGAATTAATTAGATTTTTAAAAAGGCCCTCCGTTATTTACATAAAGACGTTAGATTTTTTTTTTTTTTTTTTTAAAAGAAATGTCACTCGTGCTAGGTTTTTTAATAGATTTAATACCACATTTTTATTAATTAGGTTTTTTTAATTTTAATTTTAATTTTAATATTTAATTCAATATTTATTTTATAAGGTATTATACCCGCTGGTCCCTCATACGAGCTTCAACATCAGTCGAATATACCAAACGATGGGTATGATGATATGTGCGTGGCAGTTTTAGAAAATGCTCAAAATGCAGGGCTATTCGAAGCGTCAGGTAAGATTTTTTATACATTTTCGTCGTTGGATTTTATTTTAAGTAGATTCTTATTTTTGATTTTAATATTTAATTCAATATTTATTTTGTAAGGTATTGTACGCGCTCGACCACTGCAACGAGGTGAAATAGAGATCGCCCCGGATATTATAGTACCAGATATACCCGCTGGCCCCTCAAACGAGCTTCAACATCAGTCGAATATGCCAAACGATGAATATGACGATATGTGCGTGGCAGTTTTAGAAAATGCTCAAAATGCAGGGCTATGCGATGCGCCAGGTAAGATTTTTTTTTTATACATTATCGTCGCTAGATTTTATTTTATTTTATTTTAAGTAGATTCTTATATGACTTCGGTGGGTGGCAAACGCGTTTCCACCGCCAACACAGTGTCGGCTGTTAAGGCGAAAAAGGCTCGTATGGAACTGGTTACATCCCCGGGTCTTGTTGAGATTTCATCGTCAGGAAAACGTAAAATAGTGTGGTATTTCTCGAAAAATCTGAATAATATTCGAAATTATCCCGACTTTCTCCGTTCTCTCGAACCGGCTCTGTAAGACAAGCTAAAAACTCACGTGCAGGGACATCCAATAAAATTTAGCTTGAAGGTCGAGGCTACGTATAACCGTCCAAATGTACCCAATTCATCCGAAAATCGAGCGTTTACAACATCAGCCAAAGAAATTTTTATAGGCACACAAATCGAAACAATAGTCGAAGAAGCTTTCATAAATTTATTAGCTGAGGAAGAGGCCTATGTTTCTCGTGGTAGCGGGTTTACGTTATAGTCTATCGATGGTTTGCTACTAGCCATTTATAAGTATGCACCGATATCTGGTTCGTCGTATATAGAATTACCGAAATCCATCATAGATAAAAGGGCAATAATAAATCCTCAAAATATAGACCAACAGTGCTTTAAATGGGCTGTATTGGCAAAGCACGTTACTGGACAGAATAAATGTCGTGTCAATGAAAATTATATGGAGCATGAGGACAAATATATTTTTAACGGAATTTCATTCCCGACACCGCTGTCAGATATTACCAAGTTTGAAAAAAATAATCAGAACGTTTCTGTAAATGTTTACGGACTTGAAAAACGATTACAGCCACCGAAAAAGTATCCTTCATATGAGGTTTTCCCACTCAAAGTCGTAGATGATGAAAAACGGGATCACTTTGACTTATTATTAGTGACGGATGGTGATAATACACATTATACTTACATCTCAAATTTTTCGAGATTACTCCGTTCACAAAAAACTAGTCATGCAGGTCAAGTTATATTCTGTAAACGTTGCTTTACA